CGGCCAGCTTTTTTAACTTTTTTCACCCTTAAGCATAGTTTATTAGGATAGAGATTGTTATAGAGCTTCTTTATCTAATAATATGTAATTTTTTCGGCCCGACACAGGCCTTTAAATGTGACCTGTCAGATTTCTTTTTTTTTTTTTTTTTTTACCCATATTTCGTCTTTGTTTTTGTTTTTTAGTATTAGTTTTCATTTCTTTTTTTTTTCCCTATTTAGGATTAGTATTAGTATTAGTGGATTTTTTTTTTGTTTTTTTCACTTTTCTACGAAAAGATGTCATCAGATTGGCGGTATCCTATTGTAGGGTGGTGGTCTGATATGAGTTCCTGGGGTTAACCCAGGCATTACGCTAAGGTTATCGAGGTCCTTTAATGGAAGTTCGGCCTGGTGTGGCTGGTCGCTTGTAAGTGCTCTTTGAAGTAACTGCAGGATGTCAGGCCTAGATATTAAGCTCAATATTGTATGATTTACTCGTATAATAATCTTAATAAAGGATTACTGGCAAGACAGCCAAAGTGAAAAAAAAAAATAAATAAATAAAATAAGGATTATTCATCACACAATCTTAAATTATTCAACAGATACATAATCGTACTTTAAAACAAGTAAAATTAAAACAAGTTAATAAAAAGGATTGGTAGATAATTTTCGAATCATAGTTAAAAGTAACATATTGGCAAAAAATGATCCTTAGTTCTATAACTTCTGAGCAATTTTTTAATCTTATGTGTAATATTCTGTTTTTATTTGATATATTTTTCTCGGAAATCATAGGACTGAGAATCCTTTTTGCTACCACTAATCCACCTTCACTTAAAAGTAATAAAAATAGTTGCATTATATGAAGCTCTAAAAGTATAAAGCCAATAACTACCCTATTCATGGAATCTCAGATAATTAACTATGAATCTATTAATGATCTTATTCATATAAGCACGAGACTACTAACCTTTATTATTTATTTTATTTTATTTTTTTACTTATTATTATTATTATTTTTTTTTTACTTTTTATTTATTACTTTTTTTTTTAATTTTTTTATTTTTTATCTTTCACTTTTTATTTATTTATTTATTTTTTTTTTACTTTTTATTTATTTATTTATTTAACTGTTGCAAGCAAATAATCCTTATACATAGAAATTAATAATGCATATGACCACCATCATTATCATATACTGCTTTAACACGGTCTACCTCACTTTCAACAAGATACCTATAATAACTCTGAGATAATGCTTCCCATTCTTTCTTAACCATCCTCTCAAGCTCATTAAGGTTGCCAGGTCTTGAGCGACATTTTTGAAGCTTATTTTCAACTTCGGACCAAAGGTTCTCAATAGGATTAAGGTCTGGGCTATATGGAGGCCATTTAAATGTTTTAATACGTTTATTAGCTAGATACCTTTTAACAGGTATGCTCCTGTGGACCGAGGCACCGTCATGTTGGAATATCTCATTATTGTTGAGATATTGGTCCTGAAGCTTAGAGATGGTGTAATGAATAAGTGTCCTATGATAGGACGCACTTGTGATACTGCCATGGAGACAGATAAAAGGGCCAAGACCCCACCAAGAAAACATCTCCACATCATAATCCCTTTAGACTTGATTGCTGGAACAAGGCAATCGTCATTAAATTCTTCGCCTGGCCTCCTCCATAC